CTGGTGATGTCAGTGAGCCTAGAGGGAATGGCCCCGAGTCCCGGCACTCTGCGGAGCCTCTGGGAAATCCTCTAGGCTCTCCTGAAAATGGGGTGGTCGGGTGGGTTTGCTATTTATCTGCTATTATAGCCTGTATTTGTTATCTGCTTCTGCATAACAAATTAACCCCAAACTTAGTGGCTTAAAACAGCACTTGTGATCTCCCAGCTTCTGTGGGTCAGGAGCCCAGGTGCAGCCTAGCTGGGGCTTCTGGGTCAGGGTCTCTCCCAGGCTGGGACCATCGCAAGGCTCTGCTGGGAAGGACCGGCTTCCGGGCTTGTTCACATGACCACCAGCAGGAGTCAGTTCCTTGTGTGCTGTTGGATTTAGGCCTCCTGAGCTGTTGGACAGGGGGTTCCCTCAGTCCAGGGTGGGTACCTGGGTGGGTACCTGGGTGGGTACCTGGGTGTGTTTGAACATGTAAGAGCAAGAGTTGTGTTCTCCGCTAGTTTTATTGCATTCAGTCGTGTCATTTGCTTGAAATTCAAGCACCGGACTTTCTACTTTGCCTTAGACTGAGCTGTGCTCCGGACGTGCAGGCTCAGCGGCCATGGCTCACGGGCCCAGCCGCTCCGCGGCATGTGGGATCTTCCCGGACCGGGGCACGAACCTGTGTCCCCTGCATCGGCAGGTGGACTCTCAACCACTGTGCCACCAGGGAAGCCCCGGATTACGTTTTGCTTCATTTCCGAGGTCACTCATTTAGACCGAGGCCCGTTTGGACGTTCATTGCTGTGATGTATTTCAGCATCGTGAACCCAGGTTCACCAGCCTCGTCTCGACCTTGGAAATGTTGTGGCATTTTACAGTGTATGGTGACATTTATGAGCCCATTTGGACACCCACAAAGAGGTTGATTTCCATAGATTAAATGTCAAGTTTGAGACGGTCCAGGGTGATGGAATCCTCCAGTGCTGTCCACTCCCATTCTCAGCGGTGACCTTTGACTGGACATTTGTGCTCTATTATGAGCCCACAAGTGCAGCCCAAATTACTTAGGTCATCTGAGTCCAGGGGGATTGGTGTGATGGGGAGGCTCCTGGCAGTGTAATTGGAGACCTGCAGAAATGTTGTCTCATTTTAATTTTTTTAAATAAAACACATACATGGTTAGTGAATAAATTATTGGAGGCAGAAAAAAATCCCACCAACTGAGGTTTCTGAGATGCTGGTTAGTTTATAAAACCATCTGTGTGTTGACCAGAGCAAAAGGGTAAAAAAGAATCTATGCTTCAATGTTTTAAGTAGAAGTAGTTTTATGGGGCATTAAACACATGAACATAAACTTGGAGTAAGTGTCATCTAAATTAGGGGGTGGCAAAAAGCATTAGATAGTTTCCTAGAAGTTTAACTGTATTTGTGTTCTCACTGTCTAAAGGATTTGTGTGTCTTCAGATTTTGATCTGACTCCCTCTCTCTCTCTTTTTAAAGAAATCTCAGACTTTATAGTCACCATGCTGTACATTACATCCCCAGAATTCATTTATCTTATCACTGGAAGTTTGTACCTTTTGAATCCCTTCACCCATTTTCCCCACCCACACCTCTGACAACCATCGATTTGTTCTGTTTCTATGAGATTTTTTTTTTTAGATTCCACATATAAGTGAAATCATAGTATTTGTCTTTCTCTGACTCATTTCACTTAGCATCACGTCCTCACTCTCTATCCGTGTCATTGCGCCGGCAGGACTTCCTTCCTTTTTATGGCTGAATGATATTTAACTGTATGCAAATATACCACATTTTCTTTATCCACTCATCCATCAATGGGCACTTAGGTTGTTTCCATCTCTTGGATACTGTATGAAATGCTACAATGAACATGGGGGTGCAGATATCTCTTCGAGACAGAGATTTCATTTCCTTCAGATAAATACCCAGACGTGGAACTGTTGGATCCTACGATAGTTCTATTTCAAACTTTTGGAGGAACCTCCATTACTGTTTTCTATACAGGCTGCATCAACTTACATTCCCACCAACAGTGCACAGGGTTGATCTGGGTCTCTTGAATTTGCATTCTCCCAAGGACCTGAAGTGAATTAGATCTAAGTACGGATGCACCCATTTCCTCCACTGGTCTACGGTGGGTACCAGGGCCGGGACAGCCCTGAAAACCTTTACAACCCGAACTTCTAGCCTTTCTGAAGTTTCAGCTGTTGGTACTGCAGTGTGGCCTGCTCTGCTGCTCTGGGTCATTTCCCGTGACAGCACTGACCTACATCCAGGCTGCCGATCAACACAGACCAGCCAGTTAAAATCAGAATTAAAGTCAACCCACCAGCAAGTTTCAGGAGAGTCAAACTGGGCATGCTGAATTCCTGTCCAGGCTTGGGGTCCAGACCGTCAAGGGAACCCATCTTTCTTGCTAGACTTTTTTGTTGCCACGCTGTTGTGGAAGATGATTCACAGATTCATTTTATGATCAGAATTAGAACAAAATCAGCACCTGACGTTGGAATTGTGTCCCAGGCCAAGGTGTATGCTGCCTCATGCCTAGCAGACAGAAATTCACCCCTGGCGGGGTCGAGGCAAAGCTTGAAGACAGAAGATTCTGGCTGCTCTGCTCCACCACAGGGGCGGCATCTGATCCCAACAAGGGACGTGGGTTTCTTCAAGGGTAGATGCCTCGCCTGCAGCGATGACCGAGATGCCAGAACATTAGGATTTAAGCGGGACGAGTCTGGCCAGCATCCTGTTGTTTAGTCTATATCAGGCTAAACATCTGGGCGATTGGAAACATCTTTGGAGTTGAAGGAACCACGTGAGCTTGTCTCATGCAGGCACAGCCTGAGTCAAGACCAATGAAGGACACGTGCTCAGAGGAGGGTATTTTCTGAGCGGGGGGAGAGGGAGGCAGCAGAATGTATTCAATCCTCTGCGCTTCTCCTGCGGCGCCATAACCGAGGACCACGGACTGGGCAGCTTAAGTAACAGAAGCTGGTTCTCTCACAGTTCTGGGGGCTGGCAGTCTGAGATCGAGGTGTCGGCAGGGCCGTGCTCCCTCTGCAACCTGTAGGGTAGAATCCTTCCTTGTCTCTTCCTGGCTCCTGGTGGTTTTCCGGCAGTTCTTGGCATCCCTTGGCTTGTAGATACATCACTCCAATTTCTGCCTCTGTGGTCACGTGGCTTCTCCCCTGTGTCTTCACGTGGCCGTCTCCTCCCCGTGTCTCTCCTCTTCTTGCAAGGACACCAGTCACATTGGATTAACCCCACACCCCCACTCCAGTATGAGCTCATCTTAACTCATTCCCTCTGCAATCACCCTATTTGTAAATCAGACCACATTCACAGGTGCTGGACGTTAGGACTTTGACAGATCTTTTTAGGGGGGGGACACAGTTTAGCCCATGATACCTTTGTCCTATTTTTTCTCAGGACCTAAAGAGCTACGACATTTCTCCTTTAAATGTGTGGTCTGTGGGTGGCAGGTGGGGTGTGAGCATGATGACCGTGGGATTTCCTGGTGGCCGTGGCCCACGTGACCCACGTGGCAGGCGATGCGTGTGGGCACCGCACTCAGAGGGAATGACGAGGCTTCTTGAAGGGCTGTTTCTCTCATGTTCTTGCTCTTCCAGGCTGGGCGCCCGTGAGAACCTGAGTTTCCAGCTCTGGGCTGGAGGAGGGCCGTGTGGGGCAGAGAACCAACGAGGTATCTGGGAGGAGGCTTTGCCCTGTGGCTGTGTACTCAGCGCCCGACTGGCTCGCTCTGGAGCTGTCGGCAGTCAGCAGCCCCCCCCCCCCTCCCCCCCCCGCCCCCGTGAGAAGCCCAGTCACTCAAAGCACAGCCTGCAGGCTTTGTAGAGAACCACATCCCTGAACAAGAGGAGCTCTTCAGCCAGGGGCCTCTGGCATTTGGACACTGAGCCCAGAGCTTGCAGGGGATGGCCGAGACTCAGTAGGAATTCTGTCCCCCAGCATTTGGTGCCCCCAAAGTCATGGAGCCCCTGTAGAAGTGTGCTAGAGGAGGCCAGCGTCCAGGGTCGGGGCAAGGGTCTAGATGAGGGATTCCTGCATTGGTAGACACTCCCACCCACACCTGGACAGGAAGGTGAGCAGGAAAGGTGTGGATGGCTTGTAGGTGGATTCCATGAGATACAAGCGCCTCCAGCCCCCTCACTCAAGCAAACCCAGGGAGGAGCCCATCCCGTGAACAGTGACACTGGCCCAACCAGAGGGAGGAAGGAACGTGACTCCGTGGACGGCAGGTGACTGACATGGCTGCCCCCCACCTCTGCCCACCCCAGGTGTGAAGGAAGCACCACCCTCTGCTGCTCAGAAACGAAACACCGACCCCGCCTTCACAGACCATCTACAAACTCTCTGCTTGCCTACTCCCTGGGGTCCGGTGGGCGGGGCCTCAGGACCTGCTGGCTCCTCCTTGCTGCCCTCTTTCACCAACTGGACAGCGCACTCTCCACCCCCAGCCCCATCTGTAGGAGGTGAAGCAAAGCCTCAGGGACAGGCAGGGACCGGAAATCAAATGTTGACCAAGGGGTTAATGTCAAACGTCCCCGGGGGAACGGACGATGGCCTCGTTGCCCAGCTCGGCTGCTGTCTGCGTGGTGATGGGGGTCGGGGGGTGGGGTGGGTGGACCAGGTAATCGGAGAAGGTTTTCTACGGAGCGCTTGGGAAACCCGTCCTCTCCAGGAAATCCGCACTCAGTGGCGCATCTTGTGCCCGTCTTTGCTTTAAAGCCGTTGACGTATTGCAGATGTCCTGGGGAAGGAGTGTCGAGGGACGCTCAAAGCGCTTTATTCCTCCTGAAAAGCAGGCCCAGGGGGATTTGGGCACAGAAACACCTGGCCAACAACCTCATTACAACAAGGATGCTGAGAAGGGGGATTGAAGGTGACATTAAAGGGTTTAGACAAATATTTAAAAATGGAATCACATCGTGTTTTTAAAAGCTATACCTAGAAATTACCATGGTATTAAAAAAAATCAGAGGGTCTAGTTTGCTTTATTCATTGCATTAGCCAAGAATGAATATGTTACAAGAATGTTCCGGAAGGGAGGCATTGATGAATTGAAAACATCTAAGGGCTGTTTTGTGTTCTTTGCAACAATATCCCATGAGCAGATGTGGAGGGGAACCCTGTCCTTGGTGGGGAGGCGGGGGAGCTCTTCCTTTCCTGGGCATGGGCACCGGCATCTGGCGGTCCACCCTTCCTTGCCCCAGGGGCCGGGGTCTCTGTCTGGACTCAGTGGACACCTTGCTTCGGCCAGTTTAGCTCCTTGGCATACGCCCCTTTGCAGCTTCTGATCTCATGATCGTACTCCAGACACTTGTTCAGGCCTGGCACCCCGGATCTCCAGCCGATGAAGCCCTGGGTCGTCTTTGGGACTGGGGGGGATGGGAGCACCTGGAATAGAAAGGCAGGGGGTTGAGTCGCCTTGGGCCACAGCAACACGAGGCGTGTCCACGGAGGCATCAGGATCGGTACGCCTGGTGTGGAAAAGACAGAAAGAACCATGGTACTGGCCCCCAAATAAACACATGGGTCAATGGAACAGAACGGAGAGCCCAGAAATGGACCCGCACTTCTATGGGTACTTAATCCATGACAAAGGAGGCAGAATATACAGTGGGGAAAAGGCAGCCTCCTTGATAAATGGTGCTGGGAAAACGGGACAGCAACGTGCAAAAGAAGCGAACTGGTCTACTTCTCACACCATGCACAAAACTAAACTCAAATGGATTAAAGACTTAAAGGTAAGACCTGAAACCATAAAACTTCTAGAAGAAAACATAGGCAGCACACTCTTTGACATTGGTCTTAGCAATATTTGTTTGGATATGTCTCCTCAGGCAAGGGAAAAATAAACAAACGGGACTACATCAAACTCAAAGGCACCTTCTACACAGAGAAGGAAACTGTCAACAGAACAAAAAGGCCACCTACCGAATGGGGGAAGATATTTGCAAACGTATGTGATAAAGGGTTAATATCCAAGATATGCAAAGAACTCATACAACCCGGCATCAAAAAAACAAACAACCTGATTAAAAAATGGGCAGAGGACCTGAATAGACATTTTTCCAAAGAAGATATACAGGTAGTTAACAGTCACATTAAAAGATGCTCACTGCCACTAATCATCACACCTGTCAGAGTCACCATCATCAAAAAGACAACAAATGACAAGTGCTGGCAAGGATGTGGAGACAAGGGAACCCTCCTGCGCTGTTGGTGGGAATGGAAATTGGTGCAGCCACTGTGGAGAACAGTATGGAGGTTTGTCAAAAAATTAAAAATAGAACTATCATACTATCCAGCAATTCCACCCCTGGGTACTTACCTAAAGTAAATGAAAACACTAATTTGAAAAGATACATGCAGCTCTACGTTCATTGAACCAGTATTTACAATAGCCAAGATAAGGAAGCAACCGAAGTGCCCATCAACAGATGACTGGATAAAGATGTGGTCTATATACACAATGGAATATTATTCAGTCATAAAAATTAATGAAATCTTCCCATTTGTGACAACATAGATGGGCACTTAAAAGTGAAATAAGTCAGACAGAGAAAGACAAATACTGCATGATTTTACTTACATGTGGAGTCTATAAAAACAAAACAAATGGACAAAAATAAACAGAAACAGAGTCATAGAAACAGAGAACAAACAGATGGTTGCCAAAGGGGTGGTGGAGGAGGAGAGGAATGGGTGAGGGAGAGTAAAAGGGACAAACTTGCAGATGCAAAATAAATGAGTCACAGGGATGAAATGTACAGTGTGGGGAACATAGTCAGTAATTATGCAATATCTTTGTATGGTGACAGATCGTAACGAGACTTACGGTGATCATTTTGAAATGTTTAGAAATATTGAATCACTGTGTTCTATAATAAGGACGAACATAGTGTTGTGGGTCAATTGGACTTCAAAAACAAAGAAACTCGTAGAAAAAGAGGTCAGATTTGCGGTTACCAGAGGTGGGGGTGGGGGAGGGGGAATTGGATGAAGGTGGTCAAAAGGTACAGACTTCCAGTTATAAGACAAACAAGTGCCAGGGATGTAACGTACAAGAGGATAAATATTAGGAGCACTGCTCTACGCTATATATGGAAGCTGTTAAGAGAGTGAATGCTAAGAATTCTCATCACAAGGAGAAAATAATTTTGTTTCTATTTCTTAAATTTGGTATCTATATGAGAAGATGGACGTTCGCTAAACTTATTGCGATAATCGTCTCATGGTGTACGTAAGTCAACTCATGATGCTGCACAACTTATACTTACTTAGTACTGTATGTCAATTATAGCTTAATAAAACTGGAAGAAAAAATTAGAAAGAAAAGACAGAAAGAAGAGCCAGGGTCCCTAAGTAAGGTGCGCTGAACGTAAGCGCGCTCCGATCAGCTGGCCTCGGAGATCACATTTTCCCTGAAAGTAACGATCACCAAACATGTCTCTTTATCTCGTAATGCTTAACACATTTAATTCACGACCCAATGAAATAATTTTTATTTGGTAGAAGAGCGAAAAAGAGAAAAAAGTAAGGTGCAGAAATATCAAATACTACAGTTCACAGCGCCCTTTATAAAATATGTGGCAACATTGTCAGATGGTATCCTGGCGGTTATAGGTTTGATTAGAAGGTTTTACGATACGTGTGTGTACACGCACACACACACCCAAACCATAGATGCCACAGGAATGAAAAACAATTGAATTTAATTAAAAACCAGAAGGGAAATGGGATTCTATCTGAAATGAAAAAAACCCCACAATTTTGTTTGTCAATTCCTTCAAATTTGGAAAATTTTTGGAAAATGAGGCTAAATGTTTATGCAGGTTTCTCCCTTCCATTTGGAATAATCTTCTGTTCTGCTCTTATGGGGGGATTTGAACCAAGCCAGCAGTGAGGAATATTTGTTCCAGCAGAAGAACCGAGAGGAAGAGGTTTAGTATGCTTGGGGCTACGAGTTCACGCTTGGCTCAAAGGATCTTTGAGTGAGGCGGTGGCCGGAGGGGACGGTCCTGGTGGATGAAGCCCCTTAACATATATTCTTGCTGAGGTATTAAAATGAATCTCTTGAGAGCCCCCATGCAGGGAGGGCCATGAACATACGCCAACGAGGCCAGAATTTCCTCCAGCGAGCCAGTTCTCCACGATGCTGGGACCTCGGGAACACACGGGACCAGCCTTCAAGTCCATCTCCAACTGGTAAGAGAAATGCAGTCAGAACCCACCCTGGGATGCCACACTTCACCCACCAGATGAAGAGATGAAAACACCACCGTGAACGAGCTTATGGGAGAATCTGTTGTTAATTCTCTGTGAAGGGCAATCTTACCATCATCTACGAAAAATGAAAATGCAAACGCTCTTTGACCTGACAGTCCATCCCTAGGCATTTATCCTAAGGCATCCTAATACCTGCACACGCACATACCAAGGCCCTGTTTGTCATAGCCAATGCCTGGACACAGCCTACGTGTCCATCCACGGGGACCCGTTCAGCCACAGCCCCTCCGCACCGCAGAAAACTACGCAGCAGTTTAAAAGAAGGAGGTCGCTCTCTATATTCTCAGATGAAACGACTCTGAAGACAAACTGCTAAGAGAAAAAAAGATGCATAAAAGATGTAAAATATGGTATAATTTGTGTACGAAGGAAAAAGGGCTAGAACCCTCCGCATCCACTTGGATAGACATATTGCATCAGGGGAAGGGTGCAGAGACGGGGGGCAACAGCTCTCAGGACTCAGGGGATGGAAGGAGGCTTTTCACGGCATTGCCCTTTGGGGTGTAGGATGCCTGTTAAACCATAAATGTATTTTTTTTTTTTTTTTGCGGTACGCGGGCCTCTCACTGCTGTGGCCTCTCCCGCTGCGGAGCACAGGCTCCGGACGCGCAGGCTCAGCGGCCATGGCTCACGGGCCCAGCCGCTCCGCGGCACGTGGGATCTTCCCGGACCAGGGCACGAACCCGCGTCCCCTGCATCGGCAGGCGGACCCCCAACCACCGCGCCACCAGGGAAGCCCCATAAATGTATTTTTAAGGGGTCTATCCACCTGAAGAGGGGATGGGAAGGAGGAAGACGGGAACCATTTCTTCGGCAAGGAAGGAAGCTCAGAGGGAAACAAGCAAAGTGCCTTTCTCTGCTGGATCGTGAGACTGACCCTCCACTCCTTCCCCCGTCCACCCCCCAGGCTCTGACAGGGGTGTGGCTTCCACACCTGGCCTTCTCCTAAGCAGAGGCTCACACAGGGAGAAATCATGTTCCGTTTTGTTCTGGTCCCAGGACAGTTCCTCTCTTCTCCCCCGCAGAAGGGGATGCTGTTCTGATCTCTAGGTGGGAGCACCTCCTTTGAAAAGATGATGATTCTGGTGACAGCCGCCACCCAGCCTGAACAGGCACAGGGGCCATTTGTCAGGATGGCGGAAGGAGGGGCCCAGCTTCCCCAGGAGAAAGGTACTTACGGGGACCGCTCGTGGCCAGGAGAGACAGCAGGGTCCCTCGGGGACCTCGGGGTGGAGGCGGGGGTAGGGAGGTGGCAGAATTAAAACCCAGCAGTGGAGAAATAGCAGAGCCTCTACCTGCCCCGCTTGTCCTGTCGCTGGCCAGCCCGAGGGTTCCAGTCGGAGTTGGTGCGGGCAGAGCGGGTTCCCCACGTGTGTGGTTCATTTGAAGAACCACTGCATTTCTGGGCACGTCTCCCAATAAACTTACGGACCGGGAGCAAAACACTGTGTCTACAAGGCTGCTCCTTGCAAACTGGGTACAACCTAGACGTCCAGAGATTGGGGAAGGGTATACAAATCATGGTCGACCCGTACAATGGAGAAAAATGCAGTCAGTAAAGTAATAATGATTTGGAGTGCTGTAATTGACTGCATGGAAAGATATATAGGGCATATTGTTAAGTGAAAAAAGATTACAAAGCAGCCTGTGGAGTTTGATTTTTAAATATATATATATATATATATATGCATGTGTGTGTATGTGTGTGTGTTTATTGAAGGAGCAGTCAAAAAATAACATTTAAGAGTATGGCTCTGGAATCAGACCCACTTGACCTTGGGAAAGTTATTCAGCCTTTGTCAGCTTCAGTTTCCTCATCTACCAAATGGGTTTGATGGCCATTATAGCCACTTTCCAGGGATGTTGTGGACATAACCATGTAAAGCACTCAGTATGGGGAGCTACTAAAGGACAGTAATAAAATAAAAGCTAGGGCTTCCCTGGTGGCGCAGTGGTTGAGAGTCCGCCTGCCGATGCAGGGGACGCGGGTTCGTGCCCTGGTCCGGGAAGATCCCACGTGCCGCGGAGCGGCTGGGCCCGTGAGCCATGGCCGCTGAGCCTGCGCGTCTGGAGCCTGTGCTCCGCCACGGGAGAGGCCACGGCAGTGAGAGGCCCACGTACCGCAAAAAAAAAAAAAAAGAGCTAGCATTTATTGGTGGTATATGGAGGCATAGAAAACATCTGGAAGGAACTCCCCAAAATGTTAACCATGGGTCAGGGTACATACAGATGTTTTAATGTATGATTTATATTTTGCTGTATTTCTAGAAAAATCACTGAGCCTCTATTGTTGTATAATCGGGGGGAACGCTCTCAACATCTCAGTGGAATGCATTCATTCATTCATTCATTCATTCATTCGGCTAACAGATCGTACCCACTGAGCACCCACTACGAACGAGCTGGCCACCCCATCAGACCCTGAGGGCGTCAGGAAAAGAAAATGCAGAGCCTAACACCCCCACCCCTGGCCGCCTTCGTCCTGAGTTTTCATCCGCTCTCCCCATCAGGACACAGAAATGCCTTCTCCGTAGCTGGGCAGAGAGCAGAACCCAGGATTAAAGTGACAGATGCATGAGAGGAAACCCAGGGACATACAGAGCTCAGCAACTTCTAGAGACATCTACCCTACATCCACAGCTGATGGGTCTCAGGTGGGAACACCATCTAAGTCTTCACCCCTCTGGACAGTCTGGTCCCTCACTCAGCAACAAGAGCGATCTCTTAAAAAGGCAATTCTCAACACGCCGTGGCCCTGCTTCCCACTGCAAATCGGGCTCAAATCCCAACTCCTTCCTCTGGCCTCTGAGGTCCTGCCCGTGTAGGGACCAGTAACCCGCTGTGTCTTGCATGTGTGCGCTTGGAAAGGGCTGGAAACCCGCCTCCCCGCAGGCGGGGCGCCGCTGTGTTCTTACCTGTGCAGGTGGCTGGGCCCACCAGGAGCAACACAGGAGAAACACCGTCTCCGGTGGGGTTGATTTCTTACTTAGGAAAGCAAGTACTTAAAAGGACTTTGCGAACCTTGATGTATTTCTCCACTGGGGTCACTGGCCGGATGCGGAAGCGCTCGGGAAGCTCGATTTTGGGCTTTGGGGTGGCGGGCTCTTCTTCACGCTCGATCAGCTGAAACACAATCCCCAGGGATGGGGCCCCGCAGGCTGAGACCTTGGAAGCTTCCCCTCACTGCCCCCCCAGGACAAGGCACTTTACAGGTTAGGTGGTGCTCAGATCACAGTTAGAAAGAGGTGGCGTGGGGACTGGCCAACAGGCCAGCTCAGCCCCAGGCCCTTGCAGACTGCCTGTTTACAGCCCTGCTGAGTGATTTGAGAACACGTCACAGGTTATGGACTTAGACTAAAACATGGCAGCAAGGTTCAGGACCAACCTGTAAACTGTGAGGAGAGCTTCCATCCCCCCTTTTAATTTTTAAAGCAACTTTGAACCCTTCAAAAACCCAATTTAATTACACATAAGGAATATTAATATAGACTCTTTTATGCATATTATATTAATAACGACTCATTTTAGGCATAAAATTTCAAATTGTGTAACTCTCTAAGTATTAAAAAAACTCATTAAGAATGGCATAATTTCAGCGCTAGTGGGACGGGGTGAATTACAAAGGGGCTTTACGCTGCCTAGAATCATGGACATTTTGAATTATGCGGCCTTTGTGCGATTCTGCCTCCCCAGAGAAATGTGGTTTCCTCATGTTGTGTCCTGGAGATCACGTGGAAGGTTGCAAACCACTGGCTGCCATCCCAGTGAAGCTCACACAAGCATTCTGCGAGCCTGTTGGCGTCTTATAAATCCAAGCCACTATTCTAGACTCAGAGATTTCATTAAAGCGTCTGGATTTCTGGACTCTTATTTTTTTTTTTTTTTTTTTGCGGTACGCGGGCCTCTCACTGCTGTGGCCTCTCCCGTTGCGGAGCACAGGCTCCGGACGCGCAGGCTCAGTGGCCATGGCTCACGGGCTCAGCCACTCCGCGGCATGTGGGATCCTCCCGGACAGGGGCACGAACCCGTGTCCCCTGCATCGGCAGGCGGACTCTCAACCACTGCGCCACCGGGGAAGCCCTGGACTCTCTCGAACAGTCAGAAAATACAGCCAGTCTGCTTGCCTGGTAGTCCTCAGCTGGGCTGATGGTGGCTGCCTCTGGATGGGGTCAGTGGTCTCTTTGCTGGTGTCCCCATCACTCCCTATTAATTACGCCTGGTCCTTTTCCTTGTTTCTGTTTCCTATCTGGTGTAGGAAATACCAAGAGTATTTTCCTAATAATCGTGCCGATATTCACTTGGCCTCTCCTCTCTTTCCATCTGAACGTCACAGTCACTCAGTGAGGCAGTGAGGACTGTCACCCCATTTTACAGATGGGAATTCCAAGGCCGAGTGGCCCTGGAATCAGCCAGACCAGCATCTCCCCTTGGTGCCTCTCTTTCTGAGCTGTGTGACTTTGCACTTCTTTGAGCTCAAATTCCTCATTTGGAAAATGGACATCAAAGAGCACGCCCCTCCGCACAGGGGTTGTCGTGTGGGTTCAATGAGCTGGTTCGGATGAAGCACGTAGAACGTGCCTGGCACATAGTAAGTACTCAATAAATTTGTGAATGGGAGGAAACTTCAGGTGTCAGCCGTCTTCGCCTACAACATGCTCTTTAATTTATTCTTGCAAATTATACACTTCATAACCATTTATTCTTGGAAATGATTGATTCTATAACCTCCGAGCTCATCAAATTTACATTTACCTCCTCGAGGGGGGTCGTTAAAAATCCCCAGTTCGTTGCCCAGTTTTGCCGTGCCTCGTTTTCAGCCTTCAGGCGGTACGTCCTGAAAAAGAAAGCTCTTAAATGCCAGACATTTGAAAAGGGTTAAAGTAGCAAACCCTAAGGTGCAATGGGGAGAATTTTACATTCTTCAATGCATCTGGACTGAAGGATGATTCCGTGTCAGGGAGGAAGCAGGAGTCCCTGTCGCTGGGGACTTCCCACTAATGTAAGGAAGACACATGTCTAAGAACCAGAGATGCTGGTTGGGTGGTACATTGGGGAGCAGACAGAACTGGGGCTGACTCTGCCCGAGGGGTCATCTAGGAATGGAATCCTTGTTTTGGTGGCCCCTGGACCTATAGTAATGGGGGAGTCTTAAATCATTATGGAGGTACATATAAGGTTCCTTTGTTTTCAGAGCAAGGACCAGGCCAGAGTGAGTGAGTCCCTGGGATGCAAAATTTAAGGAGGTGCCCACTCTCAGGTTCCTGCAAGCACAGAGCCAGCACCTGCATGATCTTGAGATGGAGTCCCCCCCTTAACTATTGCACTCCAGATGCCTCACTCATCCCACCCTAATCCTGGCCCTGCTTTTGCTCCACATTGAATATAATTTATACATAACTACCTAGGAGCTGAACTGAATTGCAATTGAAGAGCGGGTGTGTTGCATTTTGCAAAAATCTGATTAAACATTTATTCATTTTGATTTTCAAGTTTCTTTTCCTATTTTGGAATCAATATCTGCACCCCAAGCCCCCTCTGATGTCTCAACAGTTTCAGAGGCCCTGGCCAAACTCTTTCCCTGGACACTGAGCATCTAAAGCAGAGTCTATTTCCAAGGGAGCTGTAACATGAGACAAAAATATGAGCCATATATGTAATTTAAAATTTTCTAGAGCCACATTTTAAAAAAAGTAAAAATAAACAGGTAAACTTAATTTTGGTATCACTTTTTAGGGGCATGAAGTTTTCGAAATCTAGTATTTTACATTTACAGCTCATCCCAATTTGGAATAACCACGTTTCAAGTGTTCAAGTTTGGACATGGGACAGAACAGTCTAAGGGCTTAATTGGCTCTGTTCACACAGGAGGGGCCATCTGATTTGGGTCTTGAAGGATGAGTAGGAGTTTGTTTGGTGGGGGAAGAGAGAAAAGGGCATTCTAGGCAGAGCAAACAGACCCTGCTAATACCCTGCTAGGTAGTATTTCCTATAGTGGGTACTTGGATAAAAATAAAGATTTAAAAAATAATAATAGCATGTATTTATTGCAAATAATACTGGCTTTCCATTTTCAAGAGTGATATAAAGTTTCCTATAAAAATAAGTTCACTAAGTGAAACAAAGCTAATTTAAAGAAAAATATGAAGTGACTATTACAGGGTTTTCAAGGAAATGGTAAAAGTCATAGAGATGACAATAGGATAACTGAAGTTTAAGAGGTGAGCCATGATGGTTTGTTGTTGCTAATATTTACTTACTTGCATCTAAATTAGTAACTTCCCATACCCGTTAAAACTTCAAAGAGATGGGATACTATTTAGCAATGGGATAGAATGCCAAATAAAAACATCCATTACAGATGTCTGCTGAACATAAATCTTTGAGAAAACGGATCTATTCTTTAAATTAAAGCTTCTTGTTCAAAAACCAGGACAAGCAAGCGAGAATGTGACGTGCTCTCATTCGAACTGAACGAACATTAAGATGTTTTAAGCATTTGGTAAATATTAAAAATAAGCACACATCAGTCGTATCTCAACAAGCAAAGCTTTGCAGCGGGTTGTAAAGGCAGATGCAAACTCTTTCACGCCTTTGTGGTGTGCCTAAGAAAAGAAAAAGAAAGGCTCTTTCGTCCCTAACACTGCCCCCTTTCCGCAAGGCCCCCCGACCCCCTCCAGGGCACGCTCTTCGCGCCCAGAGGTCGATCACCTCCAGGACTTGGTGGGGAAACTGAGGCGGCCAGGTTGAACACTTCAGGTGGGAACGGCCCAGCCCACTGGGTTCCCGGTTCCCGGGCGTTACCAGATCTCGTCCTGGGCCACGAGGTTCATGCGCTCGGCCTCGGCCCTGCTCATGGGCTTCTGCGCCATGGGGCCTGGGGTCTTGGAGCGCCCGGCACCCTCGGCCATTGGATTCAGCGTCTCACGTCGCCTAGGAGCCGGGTTGCCAAGCAACGCAGGACGCGCAGGCGGAGGCGGCGCAGCACCTGGCGAGGTTGTGGCCGCCTGGCTCCGCGGCTTCCGTGCGCCCACTGCCAATCTCAGTCCGCAGCTGCGCTCTTCGCCCGCCTCCCTGCCCACCTGCCGGCTCGCGGGCGCAGCAGCCCTTCTCTGCGGAAAACCTTGGGGAAACCTCAAGACCTTACATTCCCTCCTCCCTTTAAAATTGAGACCTGCAAGTATACAGGCCAAGTGGACCAACCCTAAGCGTACCGAGCTTAATGGATTCCGTCATAGAGACCCCTGTAGCCACCGCCTGGGTTACGAAATAGGTCACTCGACGCCCCGCCCCCCAGCGCCCGTCGACTTTTCTCAGCAGAGATTTGTTTCATCACAATTTGAACTTTGTGTAAGCGGAATCATCCTGGTGTCGTTTTTGCCTGGCTTCCTTGGTCCAGTGTTACGTTTGAGTGGTTCATCCATGTCGCTGCGAGTAGCCGGGGTGTGTTCACTTCGATGTGGGCGTCACTGGGGCTGAGTTTTGGGGCCTCCATGAAAGTGCTGCTGTGAGTTTCAGCGCACATGGCTTTTGGAGAACATATGCATGCATTTCTTTGGCATGCACTCTTTATAACCATCTCCAAATGCAATTCAAAGATAATATTGCCTCCAGACCCTACACCCCACACTCTGTCTTTCACGCCCATCAACACCAATCCCCCATCATTGGGATGCTCAATGGGTATTTGTTGACTGACTCAGCGACGACCCCCCGCCCCCGACTTCCATCACACCACATTGTCATAGGCCGGGGCTGGAAAATGTGTCTAAAAAACAGAATGTGCATCCTCTGCGTAGGGCAGGGGAATGTTCCTCTGCCTGAGAGCCACGAGATGCACAGGCGTCCAGAACCTCATGGCACCGAGAGAAGGAGGCAGCAAGCTTCCGCTGACCTACAGGTCATCTCTGGACGATTAGCAAGACCCTCGGAGAGGACGTGGGTGCTTTCACCTCCTCACTGGGTATCGGCTATCCTCCCTGGCGGGCCTCCCTGACTCTCTATTCCTGACCTCCTCCTTATCCACAGATCTGTGCTTTTATGGGGATGTTTTGAAGATGTGTTTTCCCCTCTTGATGACGTTCCCCACACCCTAGGTGTGTGATGCTCTTCTTGGCTGCTGGAAATGCTGGGTGGAGGCCCAGGATTGGGGTGGTCCCTACTGCTGCCGCAGCTGAAATAGTGAGGGGGCAGGCAGGGGCTGGAATCAGAGCTGCAGGGGTTCATCAGGGTGATGTGTAGCACGCTGTGGCCATGGCTGAGCAAGCCAGCCCACCAGGCTGGGTCTCCAGCTGGGCCCAGGATTTTCTTCCTGGCCCTTTCTCTGAGGTTGCCATTCATACAACGGGAGGGAAGGTATCCTGGGAAGAATTGTGAACAGTAGATGGCTAGGAAGAGAAGAGGACCCATCATGTAGCGGGGCAAAGTCTGCTTCTCTCTTGGGAAGCTTCTAAGATGATTCTGTTAAAATGATTAACTAAGAATAAATTCGTTTACTGGAAGTCTGTGTGCCAGACACCAAGAGTTCATTCATTCTACAAATGTTTGCTGAGCACCTCCTGTGTGCCTGGGGATCCAGGAGGGAACACGACCGGCAAAGTCATTGCCCTCCTGGGGCTGACTTGTCTGGAGGGAAGACACAGAATGAAGCAAGTGAAGACAGATAAACAAATGCGCCATAACCCCAGGGAGAGATGCACGCTGTCAAGGACGTTACATCAGGGAAGCAGGCTGGAGGTGACAGAGTCAAGTGAAGGGGTACGGAAGGGACGATCCTAAGTGGGTGGCCAGGAAAGGCCTCTCTGAGGAGGGGGTGCCTGAGCACAGAGCTGGAGAGGGAGGGACCCATGCAAAGGGGTCAGAAGGGTTTTCCATGGAGGAGGGAAGTGCAGGGCAAAGGTCCTGAGGTAGAACAAGCCCGGGCTGTTTGAAGACCAATAAGGAGGCCAGTATAGCTGGAGAGCTCCCTGCAAAGTGTGGCTGGGTGCAGAAATGAGAAAGCAAGCAGAACTTCTCCCAGGAGTTCAGTTAAGCAGGGACACGGATGTGGATGCAGCTTCATATATGAAATAACAGTAGGATGAGAGCACCCCAGATGAGGCAGAAAAGTGCAGAGGAGGTGATGAGTGAGTGGGGTTTTGAAGGTTGAATAAGAGTTTGCCAGCCTTGCCCATTCTCCTCAGAAATATCTGCACAAGGCACCCTGAGGGATGGGTCCAGGTTGAGAAATGGGTAGAGAATTATGGTTAAGTGTGCAGGCTTTGGGATTGGATGTGGGCTCAAGTTCTGGCTCTGCTGTGTACCATCTCAGCGGCCGTGGGCAAGCTGGTTTACCTCTCTGAGCCCCAGTTTCCTCACCTGTAAAATGAGCTTGTAGGGATCTTAGCAGGCTGTGAGGAGCAAATGTAAAGGGCTCCACACGGTGCCTGGAAGGCTGGCGCTCACCAATAACAGCGAGTGTTACCCAAGGAATAGCATCTTGGTAGCCTTGGCTTGGGAAGGGTCCTTGGCCCAAGACACAAAGGTTGGGGGGACAGTGTAGGTGGACGGAAATGGGGCTTTGGTTGGAACTGGGGTTGACTTCTTGAGGATGTCAGTTTTGAATAAGAGGCTGTGTATGGCTGGTGGACTGGCCTGGAAGGCAAGATTCCTTCTTTCCTGAGAAGTGAGAGAGGAACCCGAGCTACGCTGGCCTGGGGTTCTCCCCGGGCCCCACCCTAATGGTGCAGCGTTCACCAGGTCCTGGCTGGACGCTTCCCTCAGCCTCTAACTTCATGGAGATTCACAGACTTCGTGGAGGAAGGGTTCACTCGTGACCAGGTCACAGAAGGGAAACCTGCCTCAAACAATAGGTGGAAGAGAAAGGATTTGAACCAAACCCCAAAGCCACCCCCTGCGTCTTACCATAAACTCCTGTCTTAGAGGACCGCTCTTCCTTCCCAGGGGCAGGACCCTCTGGAAGGTGCAGAGTCAACATAGCCTGGCTTTCCTCTCTCTCTTGACCAGCGAGGAGGCCCCCTTCTCTCTGGATGATTTCCCAGTGGCTGAAGCTTAGCTGTGAGGGTCGAATCTGCTCAGCAAGTGACAGCTGGGGAAGGAGCCCGGGCCTGGTCTTCCTGATGTGATGTCTGTGGAAGGCAGGGTTTCTCCTTGGAGCAACACTTGCTGTGCCTCCAGGCAGCCAAAGCTAAGAGGGGATTGAGATCACACAGGGACCCCAGAAACCAGCTCCCCGGACCTCCCTGAAGGCTCCTTCCTGACCGATGGGCTCGGGACTTGCATCTAAGTATGAACGGAGCCTGGACTCACTGTCCTGTCGGAGTGCGTATTATCAATCCTTAATTAGCATAACCACCGGAACCTTCTATCAGTAGGGTTGCAAGATTTAGCATATAGAAATACAGGACATAAGTTTGAATTTCATGGAGCACACCCATACTGTACTATATGCTAAGAAATTATGTATTTATTAAAAATAGCTCGGCATCCGTAGCTTATGTGACCACCCTACCCTCAGGGAGTTTCTTCACCAGTGTGCCTACCATGCTCAGCAAATGAATACATTTGCCTTATATGAACTTCTCTTGATTTTTTACTTCTGGTGGTCTGTGTTTCTTTGCTTTATACATATCTCCTTCTTTCCTGGTTCTGGGGGTCGAACCCTCCTCCCTATATCCGAAACAAGAAATTCATGGACCTCTGACAGACACAATTTATTCACCTAATGCTGTTAGTTTATTTTATTTGGGAAAAGTGTTTTGCAGCATATATATATATATTTTTAAATTTATTGATTTACACTTGCGTTGGGTCTCCATTGCTGTGTGCGGGCTTCTCTCCTTGTGGTGGCTTCTCTTGTTGCAGGACATAGGCTTTAGGCGCACGGGCTTCAGTAGTTGTGGCACGCGGGCTCAGTAGTTGTGGCTCGTGGGCTCTAGAGCACAGGCTCAGTAGTTGTGGCACACGAGCTTAGTTGCTCCACGGTGTGTGGGATCTTCCCAGACCAGGACTCGAACCCGTGTCCCCTGCATTGGCAGGCGGATTCTTAACCACTGCACCACCAGGGAAGTCCCTGCAGTGTAGATTTCAAACAGGAAGTTTGAAGGGAGAGCTGAGGGAGAAGAAGGCTGCACTTGTTGATTATCCCTGGGAAATGGAGACAATATTTACAGCTTGCAGAGGGTTTGCCATGTTCCTGTATATTAATATTTTTGGCCCTCTCAGCATTCTGGGGCCGTTGAGTTCTCATTTTGTATTTTTTTCATCTTGCTGTTGCTTTTTAAAACATTCCAACAACTGGAGCTAACTGCTTCTTTTTAGTTTTTAAGCTTAAACAGTTTTCCTTTTTATTGTATGATTTTTTTTTTTTAACCGAAGAAGGCTTTGTGTGGGGAGAGGTCCCCGCAGCCAGCGTGCCTCTCTCTCAGCGCGGGTGATTATTACCTCGACTGCACAGCAAAGACGCGGAGGCTTGAACTGAAGGTGCTAATTTGCAGGGAATGTACTTCATGGCTGAACCGAGCTTCAGCTCGGGGAGCTGGGAATTTCCAGCCCTCACGAACACATTATGCTCTCTTTAGTGCCAGCAGAAAGAACTTCTCTTACTTCGCACATAAGCTACACTCCACACCCCTAAGGTAACAATGAACACATCCTCTGGGTCTTGTTGTGGAAGAAAAGAGCTGAGTTCCCCGTTGCCACCTCTCCTCCCCTCAGCACCCTAGAATTCTCTCTCCTGAGCCTCTTCAACCTTTGGCATAATTATCAATTAGTGCTCCAGTTAGAGACCCCGCACCGGGGCGGAGGTAGAGTTCGTCCTGCTCTTTCGCTCTCCCCTGCCTCTCTTGTCCCAGCTCTTAGGATGTGAGAAAAGCCCAACCCCTGTGTGAAAAGGAAAGTGAGTCTGAATGCAAGGGAAAAG